CTGCCAATCTTGCTCAGGATGACGCGTGTGAAAAGCTTGTAGATTACAGACAGCAGGCAGAGTGGGCGATAGTTGTCAATATCGACGTGATCTCCCTTTATGTACAACATAGTCTTGCTAGTTTTCCACAATTTGGGCACTTAGCATTCCGACAGGTACCGCGTAAAGAGCCTAGCCAGACTTCTGACGATAACTGGTGGAAAACACATCAGATGTTCTAGTTTCAACAAGTTCGTTCAGTTCTCCAACGACAAGGTCGCATGTCGAATTTTGGAATGAGGAACAGAAGGAGCGATGTATATTCGTCTTGCCTAAGGTGGTGTGTAGGCGGGTAGACGCGGCTGATGCGAGTAGAAGTCGTGAATGACCTTCTTCCCTGCCCATCGAGATGCAGTAACTACTCCGTCAAGACGACGAAGGGGTTTGCGAGTGCTTTTCCCTCGGCGGCTTCTTACTTATCGTTTCTCTGCGTAGCTTTGCATGTTCATACGTTTGTTGATAAATCCCTACAGTTCGCGCTGGAGTATCAGCTAGGGAGTCTTTGAAAAGAGTCGTCTCTCAGTTAGTTGTAGACAAGCTGCTTTCCTAGCACTATCGTGAAGATGTTCGATGAGCTGGTTGTCATCGATGTTGTCGATCACGGAATCTTCCCATCCACTCGCAAGGGAAGCGAAGAAGTCCCAGTTGTGAAGTCTGCGAGGTTTCCTTTCCTAAAGCTCACAGCTCTCTCTCCACGCACTGATAAACAAAATCTAGCGCAGAGGAGACATGCTCCAATCCTGTGTAGAGCTTCGGAACAACGGCGACGCCAGCTAAGCAAGTCGTGCGATTGAGATGATGCGGTCGTTTTCATTCGGAACTGTACACTAGGTGACTAACACGTCCGACACAAATTAGAGGGTTCTGTAACTGCGGGTTACCATGGATAGTGTGAGTCGACATGACAAACCTGAACAACGTCCCTTCCTGTTCATTCCGTTTTATCTCGTGAGTAACGAGGTGGAGCTTTTCAGCCCTATTTCTGAAGCGAATCTTGGCGTTCAAATCACCTACGAGGATCTTGAGGAAAGTACTGTCTTCTCTGTTGAGCCTCTCTTGATCTATATAGAACGCTTCCTANCAGTTGATTCCGTGAGTCCGCCTGCGTTTTTGGGCAAGTACTGGCGACTTTTGGTAGGCGATTTACTCCCCTATCCACTACTTTGGGACGCCATGCGTAGCCTCGTCGCTAACCGGCTAGGATCCTTAGTGAGAGTGAACCATCAGTGAAGGAGATCCGCAGTTTGGGGAATAGTTATTCAAAAAATATTTTCTTCACCATTACTGGCCAAATAGATACACCTTTCTACCTCGAATATTTAGTGTAGTGTTTCGAAATTTTCGGCAGCTCCCTGCACTTACGGCAAAGCAGGGTCTAACTCGTCCGACGAAAGCTCTCTCCGGAGGAAATTCCAAGGAAGACTGCCCGCACTGTCGAAGCGCTGGTACAAGATAAAAGATGTTTAAAAAATTACTCTGGAACAATAGCAGATCGACTTATCTACTCATATGATTATCCACTAATGCCTTCCATGAGGTAAACGTGGTGATGCGGTTGGGACAAGATACCATGGCAAGTCTCAAAACTCCTAATTCATCCACGACTCGCTTTGAAGTCGGCATCTATGAGCCTTGATTGTTTATTTTCAGTGTCATGCTGTGAGAATGACGGTCGTGCAATGAGATTCCTATATTCGTTTTATGATAACTTATCCTTCCAGTTTACCCGCTGATTCCCACAGGTTGTCAGAGGCTGTCCGCTCCTTACGCATCTGATTGAGAACAACATAAACCAGACTAATTCGAGAGCTCAAGTCTCTGCTACTTCTTCTAAACTTTCTTAGGTGACACTTGGTCATGATGAAGCAAAACGTTTTCCAAGAACGCGGGAGTGCGCCTTCTTCTGACACTCGGATTGTAGAAGGCTATGGGCTCTTCCACCGAGGATATAAAATTGAAACTCATGGGCCACAAATCACCCAGTTTGGGCTACTTTTCGCATTGAAACCTATATTTCCACAAACGAGATTCCTCTCGCTACGTGATGGGTTCATCGTCGCTCTTATCACCAGATGACCACAGAAGATTACTGTGATCGCATTTTACGGACCCGTCCTCCTCACAGTGGAGAACAAGCTTGCTTCATAGCGGGAAGGTTTGGTTGAGAAGCTTTTATCGCACTCCGCTTCTCCATAGATGGTGTTCACCTTGTATTGCAAGAACGGAAGTCCTCCGACAAAAATTCGGGCATAATATTTCGCTGGTAAAATGTATGTTGAAAAGAGATTTGAAGAATATTTCGAGCAAATGATCAGAATTCCAATCATGCTTGGAAGGAGCTTCACCTTCATTCAGACGGTAATGAGCCTGGGAAATTTGCTTGCAATACCTTTTCAGTGTTCCAATGTGAGGGAGCTCATTCGTTAGCCAATATTAAGTTGGGAAAAGTTTTGCAAGCGTTTGGGGCGCATTACGTCATAAAGGAAAGCAGTGCACTGAGCAATATGCATGTATCAAAACTCGGACCTTCATGTCATGCCTACAGGTTCGCCATCCAACCAGCAACGCAACCTTTTCCCAGCAAGCAAAACCTTTGTTTGGTTCGATTGTCTCCTCGCCACAGTCATATCACACGAGAAGGATTCGGTTCCGTGATTTTGTTTTCAAATTGCTTAGCAGATCTGGAACACAGATTTGAGATCAGCGTGCGAAACTACCTATGGCCGTAGTCATATTATCACGAACAGCCACTGCGGCCAAGTATCCTTTCCTAGTTTAAGGACAGTCAGATGAATAGGTTCGATCTGTATCCTATATTGACGACTTGAATGTTGTCACAAGGGGATAGTACGGAAATGAATCTTTTTCAGGTATACGACTGCTCTGCTGAAGCAACTGCCATGAAGCATGCCTCAAAATGTGTTCACCGACATTCCAAAAGCTCCGAACGGCCGGGACTCGGTGAGAACCTGTTCGAGACAACTGCACTGAAACTTGATAAAGTTAAAGCAGCAGCACAGGTAACGCCTTTGATCTTACAATTAAAATAGCACATCGATGACTTGCTCAGAAGTTCTTGCTTCTTACAAATTCAGAATTCATATGAGACTGGTATAGTTGTCCACGCACGTCTTAATAAAATCGTTAAGCTGACAATCTCCCATTCCCGAATAATTTTTAAATGAGCCCGTTGAGTATCATTAAAATATGTGAACGCCATGATTTTGAGAGCCAAAAATTTTTCATCGGAATGGATGTTGTACATATATTGTAGCTGGTTATTCGTATTGGACTGATGAGCTCCGATCTAGGACTGGATTATATTTTAAGTTGAACGATACATCATTAGCCACAACAAATCGTTCCCTTCACTGACCGCTAAGGTAATTGAATGCACCATCACCATAGAATCGCCTCGCTTCCGCCAGACTCCCCTCTTTCTGCCACATAATCGGAGTGAACGGACAACACTTTATTCTCCTTTTCGAAACAAATAATTTAGTTTTGCCGAAATTATTCCATGCTAAAGAACCCTGTAACTTCAAATTCGACAAGGGGCGTATACGCTTATGAAATCTTTATATTCTCCCCTGATCTCAACAGCAACCACCGACCAAAAGAATTATCCTCCTATTCATTCCGACCTTTCTGCACCTGAGTGATGAATGATACTTATAGTGTTGAGTGGTGGCAACGCTATTAGAAGTTACCTGCGTGGCCTTAGTTATCTTTATGTGAACAAATCATTGGCAGAGAGTCTCAGATGAGAGATGATCGGATAGGTTTCGTGCCAACTCATATCGAAACAAAGAGAATTTGCACTCCCTTATCCCTTGAGCTTGAGACGTAATCGTAATCTCATAAAAAAGAATGAGCCCCGACGCCGCTAGCCGATAACAGTTTCAAATGTAGACCTACAAGTAGGTAAATGGCATTCTTTATGGAAATAGAAATTGTATTGATGATATTAACTCAGGCATCTAAATTGTGGTGGGACGAGCTGAAAGAGTATGGCGGTGGTCCGTCAAACAATCTAACGGTAGCTCTGTTCAATCGTCCCAATACCAAAATCGGTCACTATACCCAAGTGAGCTTTGTGTTCAGGTATATCCTTTTGCTGCACAACATTCGAACATTTTTCAGATGGCTTGGGAGACTTCCTACCGACTCGGATGCGCGGTCGCTCACTGTCCATCCTTTACTTACGGTGTCTGCCATTACGGACCTGCGTAAGCTTAACATTTTATGAAGACCCTCGAATCGATTTTTCCAATTCAAAATGAATTCATAGTGACAAATGATAATGATCTCAGCGTGGCAATGCCTGATAGGTGCTGGAGTTTAAGTAAAATTCGTTAACTTGGAATGGTCAAGTTTTTACAAGGTTGGCGATTTGTGGGCAAAACTGTCGAGTTTTGCCCACAAATCGCCAACCTTGCGAGACTTTCGCTTCGCGCACTGCGGCGTTAAAACAGCAGTTAACAAAACATCAAGTCAAAACAAGTACTATCATGTAAAGCTTACAGCTTATCGGTTCTGTGCTGATATTGGCCGACCGGCTCAACACGTTGTACGTGTGAGTGCTGATAAGCTATGGCATATAAGCCATTAAGAAGGCGAGGGCAAGCGGGGTCTCGGTAGTGTAAGGGATAAGAGCACGGTCCCCGGAAAGGACAAGTACGGGTCCAAGTCCCGTCCGAGACTGGAGTTTTGCCCACAAATCGCCAACCTCGTGAGACTTTCGCTTCGCGCACTGCGGCGTTAAAACAGCAGTTAACAAAACATCAGGTCAAGTTTTCGCTTACTAATCTTCCATTCTGGGAGGATAAGATCACTGACTTGTGCATCGGCTGGCCACCGCAAGTCATTGCATAGGCCACATACGCACTCATTACGCCACTACGATTCTGAATGGAAGTCGAGTGCGGGGGCGCATCCTTCAGACGGGATTGATTAACGCCAAAAACTTTATATTTATCCTTTAATCTTCTCATTATGCATGCTCTGTACGGATCAAGTTGAAGCGCTTTCATGAAACTGCGCTGCATGTAACTTCGTCGCAATTACATTCAGCACTGTTTTATGGAGGCGTGTTTATGCCGAGATCAAGAGACTTTCGAAAGGAAAATGTATGATTTGCTTGATTCATCAGTTAATGGAGAGTAGAACAAAAGCCTTTTTCAGGGGCAACATCATAAATAGACTGATATATACCATAGGAGATCCTTGCACAGGCTGTCCAGAATCCTACACATGCAGTGTCTCAGAAGGTCTTTGTAACGTCGTGTAAACCTGCTTTAGAAATAAATTGATAACAGTTGTTGAAAGTCGTTTCATTGGGATGCTTTTTCTTGAACTCAAATCCCACAGAGGCAAAGATGTGTTATCGCAAGTGTCATGTAAAATTCAAAAAACGAATTAGTGAATTTGCGGACTTCGTTTGACGATGAACAGTCATCTGGATCCAGTGCTCTGCATTTAGAATTCTACTTGCATCACCAGCCGCTCGTCCATCAACCATTTTTTGAAATGTACATTAGTATTGTTATCGTACTTATGAGTTCAACTACTTAGCAATCGCTTCTGCTCGAGTTTCCATCTTCTTTTTCTTAGCATGTGCAAGAACGTTTCTGATTTTATTTGTGAAAAAGGCCAAGTTCCCCGGTTCCGACAACTGCATAGAACCGATCGTATCCCGTCTTGGGAACGCATCGATGGAGAATAACACTTCAACACTTGGAGAATGATTTCACCGCTTATGGTAGCGTGGATGAGGCGGTAAAAGCCCCAATGAACGCGGCAAGGATAAAATCAAGGGGTTCCACTGGTGTCTTTTGCTGCCGACGATACTTCAGTACTTTCAAAATCGAAGTCCATCGGGCAGTAGTCAGGCAATGCTCTAGGCAGCGCTAGTACTGACTGACCTACAACTTAAAAACATAGTTAGGAAGACAGTTTAACTTCGCTAACGCGAGGATGCTCGTATGAGGCTTGGTTCGGAAGCGAAGGGTCGGATTAAAGAAGAAGACGTCAGAGCGATCATTGTTCAGCTGAGGATGATGGGGCAGCGTTCGCGATCGTATGGAATTGTAATTAGAAAGCCTCCGTCACAGTTCTCCAATGTTCGAATGAGGCAAATGGTCCAGACGGATGCGTTCGGTCGCAGAAGGGGTCCCAGTACATTCCTAGAGCGAATGCTTTGGAGACTGATTGCTCGCAGTGCCAAAATATCCTAAGGAACAGCGAATCGTTAGTGGCGATGCATTTAGAAAACCCGGACCAGGCAACCAGCTCGCATCGCAGGCCAGCGCACCCCTGTTCTTCAACGAATACCATTCATTAATAGACGATCCAAGGAGGCAACTCAAATGGCTTGCATCAACATCGTCGTAGTTGTTAATGATGTTGTCGTCCAGCTTTTTCAAATGTTTCTTCAAACTCCTTATTCCTTCAATCTCCTTATTAATCAGCTGGAAGCCACTTATTTTTTCCATTTTGGAACATTTTCACGTCCTACAGTACGAAATTCTGACAATCAAGAAGAATCAGCCAACAGCCTCGTCAAATCACAACAAAGGCATTCTGGAGAAAATAGCCGGCACTAGAGGTACATCTGACTATGTGAGCGATTCAATTATTGATACTCTTAATTATCTCACAAAATTGGCAATGACGTAATGATAAGTGGCCTGAATGAGTTGCGCCGTGCGTACAGCAGCGGGTAGTTTTTGCTGCTATTACGAAGACGTAGTTTCGATCAGAGTTCTGCAGAAAGACTTGATTAACGGAGAAAAAAACGGGCATCTCACCCAGTAGCGTACCTGTTGGTGTGACTGGGTCGCCTGAGGTTGAAATTTCTCAGGGAATAACTGATTTTGGCCGGATCTCTGGGCAATTCCAAGAGTTGAGCTTTCGTAGATGCATTTGACTTTCGATGTAGGTGGTGCCACAACCACGACAGTGAGACGCCGGCTTAATAAGTGTTCTCCACTTGAATTTCCACGAAATTACAATATTCCTGTGATAATGGTATCGGNTCACCCAGTAGCGTACCTGTTGGTGTGACTGGGTCGCCTGAGGTTGAAATTTCTCAGGAAATAACTGATTTTGGCCGCATCTCTGGGCAATTCCAAGAGTTGAGCTTTCGTAGATGCATTTGACTTTCGATGTAGGTGGTGCCACAACCACGACAGTGAGACGCCGGCTTAATAAGTATTCTTCACTTGAATTTCCACGAAATTACAATATTCCTGTGATAATGGTATCGGTACATATGTGTCAATAAATTCTATTTTCTGATCTGAAAATAATCTGTGTAATTCATGTCACACCTACGTGTGGTATAGAGCGCTAAACAAGATGTTTATTGCATGCATGAATCAGGCAGTGCCTACTCTGATGGGCGTTGGAAAGGGGTGTTCAAGTAAATGCTACTAATTTCATTCAGAGGTAGTTAAAGGATAGTGAAGTGTGGGGTGTGGTACCAATCGGCCAACCCCAAAGGGATGGAAGGCCTGGTTGGACTAGGCGGATATCGATCGGGGTCTCGAACCTCCGACCGTGCATGTGATATAGTGCCCCACTTGCTACTGAGCATTGCTCGAATGAGCATAGGCGAATCGCTTATTGGCCAGAAATCCGGGATACGTCAGCAGCGAGTGCAGTTGTGGAAGTTAAACTTTATTAACTGGTAAGCCAATGGCTTTCAGTCGTTAATGTATCTCAATTTCTGCAGGACGCCTCAAATGGCTTATAGGAGACAAATTGATGGAGAAAAATGCACCGATCTTCTCAGCCAGTAAAAGTCGGCGGTACTCACTCAAGTGCTACATGAATGCTAGGTGATCTCCTCTTCAAAAGAAGGCAAATCATCATCAGCATTTTGGACTGTAAAAAGTGATATATTTAATATCGTTAGAGCATTCTCAACGAGTTCCAGAAAGATCAAGGGAGGAAGGGCAAAGCTTCTTTAACGTAGCTGAATCAGACAAAGGAGAGGTGACCGTCAGGCCAGAATGCAGAAACTATCTATTGACTCACAGAAACCAGGGTGCAGACAATTGCTTGGCAGATTTCCTAGGCATTAGAAAGAAATCAACACTAAACTCCTTCGCAAGCTTCTCTACACTTATTCACTATTTATTTCTTATTTACTGACTGCACCCATGTTGCGTCACAGCTATGAGGCAAATGTGCTAATGTGGCAATGTGTTTTGCTTCGTGCTAGTAACCTCCAGTACGAAGCAAAACAAAAGAGAAATTAATTGTAGAACCAGAAATACATATACAGCATACCGTAATCAAGGAAGGAAGTGCAAAGCTCCCCTAACCTACTCGAATCAGACAAAAAAGAAGTAGACATCTAGACAGAAAGCAGAGGCCATAGTAAATATCCAGTAGCAAGAGGCGGCAAATGTAAGCACCCACAATTTTAAGCCTGCTTCCACTGCACCATTTACTTAGGTAGAGTAAATTCAATTTGTAGAGTATGGATGGACCTCCATAATGTTTCAATTGGTCAACGTGCTAGTGTGATCTATTCCGTTATTGTATCGACATATTGACGTGGCACGGCCACCCCTATGTAAGAGCGCACCGTCGCCATTGCGGTTCATTATTGTTGTTCACTTTTTTTGGACTGTAAGTCTCCGCGTTTTTATTGTTTCTTTAATAAATCGCTTATTCTTTTGCTCGACGGTCGCATTCAACTGGTCCAACAGCAGACGCACAAGGTGAGCTGAACCCTAAATTTCTTCAGCCTACTTTTGTAGATCAGGCTATTCTTGCGACGCATGACTTCGTCAGGAGGACACCAAAACCACTTGGCGATGCGATGGAGGAGAAAGTTGAACAGCTGCTCACAACCTCTGCTTCAAGAGTTTTTGATTATACAAACTAAAAATATTCCCTCTCTCACTAATAGGCTAAAAGTGCCGCATAATATTCGAGATTGGGTACTCTTCAACCTTAGCTAATATTACTTCTGAAAGCTCATCCGTATTGGGGAGCTGCTGAAGAAAGCTGTGGGCTAAATAGAAGTGTGTTGCTTTTATTATAGGATGCTGCTATCCATAATACATAGCTATTATATTACTGAGTTTGTTGTCGTTTTGAACTCGTCACGAGGTTTTTGAATAACCTTCATTAGGCTAACATTTCGGCTGAATCGCCTTCTTCAGAGCCTGATAGGATCATAACAATCTGTGACTATCCGATCAAACGTTTCCACCAAC